TTTTTATAGTTTTTTAGGAGAAACTTATTTTCGTGCCTGCATTAATAAATCAATTCCGTTTTTTTTTTGTTTAATAAACATTCTTGGTTTGTATGTGTAATTATTTCAAGTTTTTCTTGTAGACCTAGTATGCATTTTTTGGAAATATTGTTATATGCAGGCACTGTTTTAAGGATGGACCAATTTAGTGTAAAATCATCAATATTTTTATCTTTTAATTTCCATATATATTTTGACACCATGGTGTCTTTTGAATACTTTTTATTTTTAAAAGATTGTTTATGATTGCAAAACGTTTTTTCCATTCACCTTCTGTTATGCCAATATATTGTTTATCAGGTACATTCTTAGAGGAGATAACACATTTATATACCACATTTTTTCATAAGCAATTTTTTGATAAGCAACTTTTTGATAAGCAGCAATTGTTTTTTTGTTTCCAATTACAATTTTCTGTAGTTTTTTCATTTTAGATTTATTTTTTGTTTAACTAAGAATTGTTGTGACCTTTTATAATTCTTTCCATATTTTTTGTGCAACTGTAGCTAACTTTAATAGTATTTTGATTAAAAATTTTATGTAATTTATTAGAGGGTGGGAAATGCTTATTGATCAGTTTTAAAAACACTTTTCCTATATGTGGAAACATTTTTGCTAAATGGAGGTTGAACCAAATTACATTTCTAGTTCTATTTCGCTTTTTTGTATTCTTTTTTTCAGGGTCAAATTTTAATTCAAAGTTTTCAAGTCCACTTTTTTTAAGGGCATCTTCAAATATCTATTTGTAGGAATTGAATACATTTTCATAAGAAGAGTTTTGGTTTAGCCTGTTATCAATTGAAATCGGGATTTGTTTTAGAATTTGGGGTGGATGATTTGAATTAATGCTAATATTCAATAATTCATCTAGAGGTTAAATGTGACATCAAGAAAGTTCACAATTTTTAAATTTATGTTTATTTCAATTTAAAAGCCAATATTTTTAAAAATTTTTATAATATCTTTTCTAATTTTATCAAGCTGTGGACCAGATTTTTTACGCATTACTATGAAACCATCGTCGCGATAAAGGCCTAAATCATTTATATTGATTATTTTACCTAATAAATCTAAAATACATAATCCAACAAATTCACACATTTCTGCTCCATCATAACTGCCCATTGTTACATCGAAGCAGTTATGTATGTTTTTATTTTTCCAAGTTTCCTTATTAAAATAAAGTAAGGTTTTTCTACAATGTTTTATTATGCAAATTGTTTCTTCAGAAAAAACTGTGTGGCTTTTTGCAAATTCAATTGTTTTATCTAAAATATCTGCAGTTATATATATATATTTATATATATGTGTGTGTGTGTGTATATATATATATAATATATATATATATATATATATATATATATATATATATATATATATATATATATATATATATATATATATATATATATATATATATATATATATATATCTATTTATATATATATATATATATATATATATATATATATATATATATATATATATATATATATATATATACATATACGTAACAAATAACAATAACATTAAACATTTATTTAAATTGAAAATAATAAAAAATGAATAATAAAAGTAAAGTTAAAAATAGTAATAATTATGGCTGCGATAAATATTTAGAACTAAAAGAAATAAAACTTTAACAAACAACATGATAAAAATTAAAGATAAAATAAAGAAAAACAAAAAAGCATTTGAAAAAATGAGAAATTTTAATATTGTTACATGCACACACAAACAGAAATATAAGAATATATAAAGATAAATACACATACTTACCCACATACATAGATACACACATATTTGCATATAAATACACACGCGCGTGTTTATGCACTCACATAGCTATGTATATATATATATATATATATATATATATATATATATATATATATATATATATATATATATATATATATATATATATATATATATATACATATAGTCATATTTACATATACAGCTTTAAAAATATATACATTTTTTAAAATGTCCAACTAATATAAAATTAAAAATATTTAAATTAAAAAACATACGATGCAAACAACGCACTAAACTATATAACAAATTGAATTATACTCTACAATGCCCAATTAATAATACACAAGAATACAAAAACAAAAGCAAACTTATACGTTTCTTCAAAAACGGAGCAATTTTCATATTTTATTTTAATTGTATTTAATTACTTTTCATTTCCAAATGTTTTTTTCATTTAACTTTCTTTTCTTGTTTCTTTTTATATATATATATATTTTTTTGTTAGTTTGTTTGATTTGGTTTTTTGTTTATTTATGCTTTTTCGTTTCCTTCTTTTTCTTTACTTTACTGTTTTTATATTTATTTTCCTTATTTTATTAGTTGTTTTTGTCTTCCTTTCTTTTCTTTTTTTTTGTTTTTATTTTATTTAAGTTTTTCGCATCCACAGTGTATTGTGGTATTTATTGTAGTATTTTTGTTTTTGTATTCTTGTGTATTGTAATTTATTTCTTTTAGTTTTAAATATTTATCGCAGCCATAAATATTGTTATTTTTATCTTTACTATTATTATTCATATTTTTTATAATAATGATCAAAATTAATTGCTCGAAGAAGTTATTAGTATAATTGCTAATTAAAGACTTAAATTAAAAAATTTTTTCCAAATGAAAGAGACCTAATATAAAAATTGTTGAAATATAAGAAATGCTGCTCAGGAAGCACAAAACAAAATTAACAAAAACGCTTATGTATATATATATATATATATATATATATATATATATATATATATATATATATATATATATATATATATATATATATATATATCTATATATATATATATATATATATATATATATATATATATATATATATATATATATATATATATCTATATATATATATATATATATATATATATATATATATATATATATATATATATATATATATATATATATATATATATATATATATATATATATATATATATATATATATATATACATATATATATATATATATATATATATATATATATATATATATATATATATATATATATATATATATATATATATATATATATATATATATACATACATTATTAGGGTGTTACCAGTTTAAATTAAAGTTGAATTTTTTTAACGCATACCATCTTAATTTGTTTAAATGATGTTAAAACAATTGTAAAAAAAATTTTGGTTAGGTAAGGTCACGATAACCCGTGCCGATTTGCATTGGAACTTGTCAAGACTTGCTAACTATGGCAGACGTGCGCGAATAGTCGATGTGCTTGTTATAACTTGCTTTTCTTTTACTGTAGAGTTCAGTACCCATATTGATTTTGCTCTATCAACATGTCTGTACAATTACGCAGTTTTAAAAATGATATGTTTTTAATGACACAAAACATTAAATAACGGGATCAAAGCTTCGTTCTAATGGAAAAGTTTTAGCAGTGCTATTTTATATATAACATTCGTGAAGTGAAATTAAATGTAAAAAATAGTGCAAATCTCACTGTTAAGAAGTGTATTATTTATTGGGAAAAGGCGCGTATACCAACGAAATCATTTCCTAATTGTGTAAAAAAACTTGCAAAGATATATCAAGCTTGTAGGGATTTGCAAAAAAATACATACAAAACCCAAGACGTATTTAAACAACGTCGACAAGAGTTTGTCAGAAACTTAGATAATATGTTTGATATCGCTCACGCCGATGCACTTCATTTTATTAAATTAGATAAAGATAAGTTATTTTTGCAGCGGCAAAGGGAGCCAGGTCGACCGTGTATCTTACGTAGTGTAGACAAAAAACTGGCCGACAGTGTTTCGCAGAGTCAATTCCTTCGTCATCATTTCATGATACATTACAAAAAGATTCATCATCTGCTTCGGACAAAGACTTACATTTGGAAGAAGATTTGCCAACTCAGATCGAGAGCGCGCAACCCGAAATAAGTAAAATACTTTTGCGGAAAAACTTCATCACTCCAAAATTAGTAGCATCGCTAGACATGTCAATTAAGTATGAGAGATTCTGTGTACAATCTTGAAGCAACTATTGAGGCACTTAGGTACAAATTTGATTAATTTCCAATAAGTAAGTTCTCAATTCAAAGAATTCGCATCAAAATAAGCAAAGAGCGCGCTGAGGCTATAAAAATAGATTTTCAAAATGAGATGCCACAGGTTGTGACTGTTCACATTGATGGAAAACTGTTGCTTGCTTTAGATGCCCGAAAATAAAAAGAAGAACGTCTACCAAGAGTTGTTTCATATGAAAATAAAGAACAGTGAAAAGATTAGAAAACTCATAAGAAAGAGAACAGGCAGAGGTGGTTTGAAAAGTCCTTGTAGACGGAATCTTGAGGATGAAGTTCAAATTCTTTGTTGTGATACTACGGCATCTAACACAGGTCGTATTAATGGCACCTGCGTATTGCTTGAACAAAGAATAGAAAGAGGTTTGCTCATTTTTCTTGCCCTCATCACATATATGAGTTAATATTAAAAGCAAAAATCAGCCAAGTAACAACATTTTTGAAGCAAAAATCAGCCAAGTAATAACAAGCCCTAATTTTCCACTGTTTAAAAAGTTCCGTAATAACTGAAAAAGTGTCGACTTTATTAAAACACAGAACTTCAAAGAAATAATCAATTTGTATTTGACTATTTCAGAAATAGAAAACTTGATGAAATTTTACGAATCTGAGTTAACAAATCTATAGTCCGATATGACTATCGCAAATTAATTCAGCTCTAAATCATATTTTAAGGCGGAGATAAAAATAGAACATTTAAAATTAGATCTCCAGATGCCGTGCATCAAGCTAAGTGGATGGCAAAAACAATTTATGCCCTGAAGATGACACTTTTAATGATTAATTAAAAATATCGAATATAGATAAGGAGGCACTATTAGATGTTTACTTATAAATTGCAACATCTTACGTAAAGCCTTGTCTACAATGTATTTTGGCTATAAAAGCACCATATCAGGATTTATGCTTTTTAAACCAAATAAAGCCTACGAAACAATCGACAAAAATATCTCGGAAGCAACTGTGCATAAATTAAGCCAGCATCTATGGTATTTATATAATGAAGTAGCTGCTTTATCAATATTTGACAACGATGTCGACAAAGGAGATAAAATAAATATGGTTGAAAACTTTGACAGTGACATTATATCGAGCTATGGTAAACGCTATATACCATCCAAAGAGGAACTCTGCGGTTCCTTGTATGATAAGTTTTATTAATAAATACAGCAAATGTTATTTTAATTTACTTATTATTTTTTAAAGTAAATTGCATTTCTTTTCTTTTTTTCAGATAAAAACATCTACGACTTTGTTTGATTGAAAAGTAAGACTTTGTTCACCCGGCTGCAAATTAATCACAGTTTTTTGGACGAAGAACCTTCTTTATGGTCAATTAACGTTTCGTTTCAGGATGCCAAAAAGAAGGTTTCAATACTGAGGGCCAGCAAAAATACTGCTGAAAGAGCATTCAAAATGATGCTAGAGTTCCATTACATAAAAACAGAGGAGGAACAAAAACAATTTTTATTACGCTGCGTACAAGAACACCGAAAGACTTATCCTGATTGCAAAAAACAAACTTTAAAAAGAAAATTTGCTGAATAATGTTTTTTATTCATAAAATAATAATGTTATTATATATTAATAATATAAATTTCAGGTATATTAGTGTTTTAGTGAATCAACTTCTAGAAATTCTCTACGCCAACCCAATACAAAAATTATTATTTTGTGTTTGGGATCAAGTCGGGACGGGTTACTGTTGTCCAATCGCTTTTATATTTTATATTCGAATATTTAGGGTCAAATAGAAAATATTATGGGGTATGCGTATTCAATTTGCGAATTTTATTTTATCGCCTATGTCTTGGGACACCCAACGCAAATATAAATATATATATATATATATATATATATATATATATATATATATATATATATATATATATATATATATATATATATATATATATATATATATATATATATATATATATATATATATATATATATATATATATATATATATTAAAACCTTTCATTTAGATTTACATCTTTAATTGTTACAACTTTATTTGTCAATTCTTACATAACAAGGTTACCATGTATTTTATATGGAAATTTTTTTTTGACGTCAAACAAATATTATAATGGAGACATTATTTCAACATATTTTGAAGTAAGTAATATTAATGAATGCGGAAATTATTGTGTCAGATCTCCAACTTGTGTGTTTGCAAATTTTAACGCAATTCAAAAAACTTGTCGGTTAATGTCGTCAGCGGCAAACTTTTCAAACAGTGTAACTGATAGTCAATGGCAAGTACTGACAACTGATGATTCCAGTATGAAAAACGTAAGAGCAAAAAGCTTTTTTCAAAACTTTCTGATTTTTTTTTTTTTATAAATTTGCCATTTTGTTAAAAATTGCAAAAAAACAAAATAAAAAAAAAGAAAATCCTAAGTAATAAATAAGTAGTATATATAAATAGAAAATTTTAGTAGGAAAATAGTTTTTCGCTTTTAATATTTTAGCGAAATAATTTTAAAAAGTAAAATCAGATAAAAGTGAGATATTTATAAAAAATTTTAATAACAAAAAACTGCGTTAAGTTGTATTAAAAATAATGCAATATAAGTAAGATTTTTTTTTTTTTTTAATGTTGATTTTAGGTGCCCCAAGAAGTCCTGACGGTCTTTTCACAAAGCACCGCGGAAAAGCATTTAATAGGAAGTTCACGCCTCCTTCCCAACCAATGTCGCAAAACTTGCCCAGAGTTGGGGTTTGATTCACGGATCTTACGTTTCCGAAGCAAGTGTGCTACCACTGCGCCACGGCTGCTTTAAATTAAGGCTGATAATAAATATCAATAGAAAACAGAAAGGAAATTTAAAAGATATCAATTTGTCTTAAAAAAAAAAATGAAAATCTAGTATATGAAAGTCCGTGTTTAATAAATGCTGTTTTGAATTAGCCTAAAATCTTTCGAAAATGCAGTTTAAATGAGTCTTGTTTTTGATTAAAAATATTTAAAAATATTTTCCAAACAAAAGGTTTTCGATATTGAAATTGGTATGAGGTTTATTTAAAATGATTAAGTAGAAAGACAAAGTTGTTCTCTGAAAACTTGCTACGATATTTATGAGAGATTTTATTAAAGTATGATTGAAATATTACTTGTGATAAAACACATTTTGCTTTAACAAAATTAATATTACCGAATGAATAATATTCTTATTAGTATTTAAAGTTCCTACCTAACCCAGGCAAGGTTAGCAATATTGATCCCTGTTTGCTCCTAATATTGTCCCGAAATCATGGTTTTGTTTGCTGTAAATTTTTTTAAGTTCATTATTATTAGTGCTACCTCAAGCAACGTTATAGTAAGAAAGATAGCTGTGTATGAACAAAAAAATACATATTTTTTAAAAATTCAAATGTTAGAAACGGTTTTGTTCAATATAGCATAGAAACAATTTTTATAACATAACTATTGATAAATTGAATATAGAACTTAAGCATTTATAAAAGATTTATAGTTGATTCCTTTTTAGTATTATATTATTGATTAAAGGTTGGGTAATTTAAAACGAACATTTTTAACTTTATTAGGTTATGGAATAGGATAAACTTTGTATTATCGACATTTATTGAAAGTCGGTAACTTATAAACCACTCGTTGATCTTATTTAATTCTTTTTTAAATATTTTATAAACAACAATAAAATCATTGTGAGAATAAAAAATATATTCGTGTCATTTGCAAATAAGACAGATTTTAATGTTTTTGTAGCTAAATATAAGTCATTTCTATTAAGAAAATATAATAATATTTCTTAAAATAAGACCTTTGCGTATCCCACAAGTTGGTAGTTTTTTTTTTATTCTTTAAGTTTAAACTGCTCTTTGTTAAGTATGCATTACTCTTTCTTAAATAATAACTGCTCTTTCTTAGTTAGGTATGATTTAAACCAAAATAAAATTTTATTAAATGGTTTTTTCAAAACCACATTGATTACTTTATAGAAATTTATTTTCAGTAAAATATTTATAAAGTTTTGTATACAAAATGCGTTCAATTGTTTAGAAAAGCAGAGCAAGACTGAAATAGGTCTGCAATTTGAAATATTAGTCACATCAACAAATTTTTAAATAGGTACAATTTCTGAAATTTTTAATTTATCTGGAACATAACATAATTTAAGCTAGAGATTAAAACTATGGAATGATGAGGTTTGATAATAGCAAAACAGATTTAATTACATTAACATTTATTTTATCGATATTTGCATTTTTAGATTTTTAAGAAAATTAAAAGCATTATTACTACGTCGGGCGTAGTGATAGTATATATTAGTGATAGTAATGTTGTCTTTTTTTAGTCCCATTTATGTTGATTTTATTTGTATTACTTGGCATTTTAGTCTTATTTTCGTGACGAAATATTATAAAAATAATAAAAAAAAAACTATGCAGTTCATTTTTTTTCAAAATTGGTTGGTCCATATTTATATCAGTTTTTGTACTTTTTTTTCTTAAAAATTGGCTAAAATCATCTCGCGTTTCCTTTGTTAATTTTAAGCAATTTAGCATAAAAACTTTACATCGTTTCTTAATTTTTTACAATAAATTTAAATAGTTTTTTATTTAATTTTATTTTTATAAGTTTCATGTTATTAATATTCTTCGTACAAGTCTCGTTTTTTCCTTGGAGATTTAGGGTGCCCTTTTTGTTATCTTTAAAAATGATTTATAAGTTTTTATTACTTTTACTTTTAAAGAAATCGCTTTAACATAAATTCTAAACAAATGGTTTAGAAATAAATCATAAACATTAATTATATTGTGAGATTGTAATGTAAGATTCCAATCGACATGGTAATTTAATATTTTTTCAAATTGACATATTAAACTTTCATCGATGTCTCATAAATACTGTTGATTCGAGGGTAGTAACACATAATGACTCACAATCTGTATTGTTTATATTGAGGTTGTTACTTTTAACAATATCAAAAGATGCAAATGCTTCTTTGATGTACCTAAGGACAGTTTTTTATCTTTTCTTGTAGATTTGAGCATTTTACTTGCCATCACATAAGAACAAAAAAAGTTTTTCGAGTTATGCGGTTCTTATCTGGTACACATTTTATTTTATTTAAAAACAACTGCTCTTACGATTTTTAAAATAACGAAAAAAACTAAATCTCTATTGCCATAAAACGTTTCACGCAGTGCCTGTTCCACCCACATCATTTCTATATGTATTCTTTATTATTCTTTTAAAATCTTTTATAGTTATTCTTCATTGTTCTTTTTATTTTATTAATTTTTAGTAAATGGTACAAAATAATTGCATTAAAAATCTTAATTTAAAAAGTACAAAAAAAAACATTTCCTTTATTGTTTTTTGAAATTTAAAACTTTTTATAAAGATCCACTACAATCATAAATATTTATTAAAAAGCCAATTATAAAATATTTAAAGAGTAAAATAATTAACAATACTAAAAATAAAATCAAATTAGGACATAAATTGCATTCATAGCAAAAAATTGTCTTAACTTTAAGTGGTTGATTAAAAAGAATAAGTCCTTATAATTAAAGTACCCATTATTCATTTATAACAATAGTCACCAACAGGAAGTTAAGCCGACCTACAAGCCTGTCTATCAAGATAAATCATCACAAAAAAAACATCACAACATATCACACACAATATTAGGATACATAAATGTTTGGAAGTTGTTTTTGATTTTTTTTACAGATAATAACAACTTTTTTTGGAAATATCACATATAAACTATTTTCTTTTTGTACATCAATTTGGTTTGAAAAGATTTTGATTTCATTTTCCAAATAGTTTCCATCATTATTGTTTTTTATTTAATTTTCAACATTAACAGTTTGTTTTTTTTTCCGCTGATAGAATACCAATATTTTTAATATCAAATCATTGCTGGATTCTAAACAATTAACAGACACGCTGTTTTTTAAATTTCATAACCATGATTTAACCAAATTATTTAGGAAAAGGTCTTTCTTAGATTACATTTAACTAACTTACTTTTTTCAAATATTTTCATAAAAAGTAAATTTTTAGAAAAATTTTGAAAAAATTTAGTGTAACTTATATTGAAATACTTAGTACAACTTATTTTAAAAAGTTAAAAGTATATAACATTCATCATAATGTTGTGTCTAATTTTATGCTTTTATTTATGCTTAAAACTAGAAAATCTTCTGACTTTGTGAAGCCACAAGTAAATGATTAGAAATATATATAAATATATATAAATATAAATTTAAATATATATATATATATATATATATATATATTTTTTTAAAAAAACCGCAATAATAATGACTAGAAAGTTTTTTTAATTAGTGGTGTTTTTGTTTTTGTTTTATTAAAAAACATTTTTAAAACATGCGTAAGTGTTGCTACATCGACTATCTTATAGCCTGCTGCAACAAGGGAGTATTGCTACATCGACTGACAAATAGCGTGACTCGCAAGGGAGTGCTGCTATATCGACTGAGGGTTTGGTTTCGCAGTCTATCATTTTAAAGAAAATTTTTTTTTTGAAGTTTTTTAACTTTTTCTGGTCAGGCTAATTATTGCGCTCTTTAAAACAACAGTTTATGGGTAAAACTTTGTGACTACCATGCAAGACTATATATTTGCAAAAAAACTATTTACGGGGAAATTTTTTTTTCAAAAAAAAAGCTACTTACAAAACAAAAAATTATCGAGTACATTAAATTGTCCCCTTTACAGCTACTGTCCTCGTAAGTATTCATTTTAATCTAAAATCTGCACTCAAACGTGCTACTTTATGGATATATATATATATATATATATATATATATATATATATATATATATATATATATATATATATATATATATATATATATATATATATATATATATATATATGCATATATATATATATATATGCATATATATATATATATATGCATATATATATATATATATATGCATATATATATATATATATGCATATATATATATATATATGCATATATATGAAGGTTAGATTTTTAATTGTTCTCTATGGAGCAGCATAGTATTTACTTAAGCATTGTTAGCTTAATAAGTTTTTTTATATAAAAACATCGCCGTTCGACAAATACGAGTATTAAAACAAACGAGAAGAAAAAATTAACTCAGAGAGAAGATGTTTTAGTTACAAACACGAACATTAAAAAAAGTAAGGCATTTTAGTTTTTTTCCATGTTGAGCAAAATAGAAAAATATAAAACGTTTTTAACAACATCTCGTGCATATTGAAATATACAAAAATTTTAAATTGACTTAAATATTTACTCGCGTAATATAATTATAGAGGAGATAATTGAATCGGATTTGTTGAAAATTTTTGGTTTTATGGTTTTTTTGATGATTTTAAAATTCGAGTACTTTGAGGACCTATCCTTAAGTACATCAAGTTTCGCCTTTACCTAAGTAAACATCGCGCATTTTTTAAACTGATATATAGTTTGCCAACTCAAAATTAGAATTTTTTCATTGCTTATATGCCAAGTTTCTGTGAAGCAAATTATTATAAATTTATGTCTAAGTTGCTTCATTAAACATTTAATGTTCTTGAAATTTATATTTATACATTGAATTTTAATATTAAATGTTGAAAATCTGTTCCTACAAAGATATTCATTAGATTTAGATATTGAATAATATTTACTTATTAAAAGGGTTTTAATAAAGTTGTCAAAGTTATTATTGTTAGTGTTGATATTTTGAGCATTAAATAAAAATTCATTGATATAAAATTTCTTTTTTTGTTTTCAGTGAGTTTTTTTGAATATTTCCTTTATCTTTCTAATAAGGCAACCTCTAATTCTATGAGCCTCTTTTATTTAATTTTTTTCAATTGAAGTGTTTTTTTAAATATTTTTAACAATTTTGCTGTACTATCACTCTAACTTTAATTTTCATTTTTCTATCAAGCCGTCTATTATCAGGTTGTTCTTGTGTAACCTATTTTCAATATTTTATAGTTTACTTTTTACCTTAAACAACTCACTGATTTTTTTAAAACTATATCTGTATAGTTTTCAAATTTATTAGCTCAATTTTTTTGGAAGCATTATGATTACTTGTCTTTACTTTTTTAGGTCAATAAGGCCAGCTCTAAGAGAGATCACTTTTTTAATTGTTACACCTAAATCGTTTTCAAAATTTTTAATTTTTATTTGATTATCTATATCATTTTTCTGGTTTTTGTTCTCTCTTTCTGAAAACATTTTAAGGCTTGCAGCCGTTAACAAAGCAAACCTTTTTTCTTGTTTTTCAAAAGTTTTTTGTTGCTTCTAAGTTTGCATTACTATGTTTCTTAAGTATACCAGCAATAATTTTTTAATACTTTTAGTATCTATTTTATTTCTGAAGACTTTATTTTAATTCTATCATTATTAATTAAAATATATATATATATATATTTTCATACAAAAACACGTCCGAACACTTCAGAAGATGAGTAAGATAACTTTTCAGATTATGAGTTAATTTCAGGAGATGAGTAAGATGATTAGATGGTTAGTTTTAAAAAACAAGAAGAAGATAGTTTTTTGGATTCAGTACGTTTATTTTACCAAAACCCAAGGCCGTTGGTAAGAGATTTTATAGAAGGGGAGCGAAGGAAAGGTTTTGCCGAACTTTTTAAGAGCTCGCGAGGTTATAATTGTTTTTGTTCTCCACCCTTTTTTGTTTTGAGATAAAACCATTTAAAACAAAAACTTTAGGAGATAGTATATAAAAGATTTTAATTACTTATGTTTTCTCCAAAACTCTTTAGATTTTAACTTAGATTTTAATATCGTAGAAAAACAATATTTTGAGGTACATGACGCAATTGATAACTCAATTTTTTCAAAAAAGTGGAGATAATAATTCTACCCTCGCGAGCTGTTGAGAACTTCTAAGTATTGCTCACAAACATTATGGCATCAAGTCTGTTGTAATGTAAGCGCACTTACTATGCTTTAAGATAAACAAACTCTTTTCTAAACGTGCTAAAAAAACTGATTCAGTTGTGGAATTAAATGAATCTGTATTGTTTTAGTATTATCTAATTGAAGCGTTAGATATAACGAACTGTAGCGTGCTGAGAAGAAAGGTATTTGCGATCCACATGTGGCTACAGCGTTTACACAATAGTATGAAGTTTTAATATAGTTTATTATCGATATATAACTTGCTAATTAGTTTTCATCTACATGTGAAACACATATTCACATATTAAATGTAAAATAACATTTAACAAACTTCCATGACATCACACTGTTTACTACAGAGCAGCCGTAGTACAGTGGTTATCGCACTTGCACCAGATGCGAGAGATTCGTGGTTAAACGCTACCTCTGGGCAAGTTTTACAACATCGGTGAGGAATGAGGCCTGAACTTTTTCTAAAATTCTCTTTTCGATGGTCTGTGATAATACCGTAGGGGGACTTAAAAATGAAAATTATAAAAAAAAAATTGTTTAGTTTTTAATAGCCGATTTTGTAATTAATATATTTGTTATTTGTTATCCAACAATTATTTATGCCTCAAAAAAGCAACATAAAACTAAACAGGAAAAAGATTTTAAAATAGTTGACAATGTAAGGAATCTTTCATTATGAACGATTTTTGTGTCTATTTTGTTTGCACTTGTATTTAAATATCGATTATTTTTTAAATTGTATTTTAACTGTATGTAAAACAAAAAATTAAAAAAAAAAAAATGAATAAATAAAAAAAAGGGAAAATTTATGAGTTTATTCAAAAGAATATTGATTGTTCTCCTATGAAAAAGAAAAATAGTGAAGAAGCTGAAAAAACTGAGCGTTTAGTCAAATTAATAAAAGGCAATGCTGTTGTTGATTTTTTAGGTTTCCTCGCCAAATTAAGAAAGATTTAAATTTGGGAGTTTTTTGCTGAGCAGTACGTTAACGTTTATTAGAAGGCAAATTATTTTCCCCAAGTCCAAGAAAGTATCCTTTTTTTAAAAAAAAGCTTTGACTGACGAAAGTTAAATGGGTCAAGTGAATGCTGGATATAAGTATAAAAGCTTAAATAAGTAAAAAGTATAAATAACTCATCCTATTAACCGCAGTCTACTTTTAAAACAGTTGAACAGTGAGTCAAAAATAACCATCTGAGGTTGTTTTACATATTATGGTATAGAGCCTATCTTTAATAATAATAGAGTTGTGGGCTATTCTGGTTTGAGTGGAAGTGTTAAAAAACACCCTGTTACCTTTGTCCGGAAAAACATTTGCCACCAAAATGAATCTTAATGCAAAAAAATAAACTGGTTTGTTAGAAAAGAAATTGAAGTCATGTATTGGTCTACGCAATCAGTAGATTTCAGTTGCATCAAAAACCTTTAAACCTATGTCAAACAGGCAGTTTTAAAAGGAAAACCAAAAAATCACCACAATTTATGGAGCATTGAATGGGATGCTTGAAAAACAAATCTTTGAAATATTGTCAAGATATAATTAACACTCTGTCGAATTGATGCAAAACTGTGAATCAAAATAGTTGTCATTTGATTAAATACTAACTTTCACTAAATTTAGTGTCATAAATTATCAGAATACTTTGTAATTTCTAATAAACCGTAAAAACAATGAATACTACTATTTTTATATTTAACTTTTTTTTTTTTAACTAGGTAATATTGTGATATGGAAATATACAATATTGATAAAAAAATAAAATTTACTAGTTGTTATATTATCTTAGGTGTATTTTTTTTATTCAATATTACACTTTCATTAACGGTAACTGTAAATGGTAACGGTAACATATAAAATGCGTTGATTTGATAATTTTGAGCACAATACTAACATTATGTCTATAACTGTAGCAGTTTAATATATGATTACTGTAAGTTGTACATTGTTCATACCTGAATTTGTACTAAATATTTTTTATCATAAAGACAAAATATTAAGTAGTCATCTTCTTTTTTAGCTTGGTCCTCTATGCGAATCAAACACTCCTTGCACAACATTGTATTGCCGAGATGTATGCTTAACAGATGATCAAGATTTAGTTCACAGTTACACTTGCTTTGGTAATTTTTTAAACAACTTTTGAAATTTACTCTATTAAATTAAAATCTTTTTATTTTATTTAGTTAATTGCCTAAGTTGTTAAAACTCTTTAAATGAGATAAGTTTGTTTCTAAAATAAAAATTCTATTACTTGTTAATAAGTTTTAATGAGATATTGTACACCAAAAAAATGCAAAATTAATTATTTTTAAACGTTTTTTTTTTCTGTCGTCTAATTTCCTTGCGTATTTGTAATTTAAACAATTTGTTTATGTTTAATAATTAGATTACTCGTGATTAAGTTATATTATTATTTTTATTTTTAGGAAACAAAGATTAATTTTAATATTACAAAACTGTCTAACATTCCCTATAATAGAGCGATAAACTTTTTTTAGTAACACAGTAAAATATTTTTCATGTATTTTTACTCTTACGCTAAACTTTTGATTCAGCTATCAATCGCAAACTTGCGTTTAGAAAATTTGTTTATCTATAAAAAAACCTTTTAATTTTAAAAACAAGTTGCCATAAAGTTGAGTTGATGTTGAATTACAAACATTGAATTATGCGTTAACTTAGAAACGAAAAACCAACGTTGAAATATCAACATTGAATTAACGTCAATAAGCTAACGCTTAACTGATCTTGATTTATAAGCTTGATTAAAGCGTTGATTTGGACAAGGAAGGACGTTTTATTTGGACGTTTGATTTGGACGTTGATTAAAGCGTTGATTTGGACAAGGAAGCAGCAGTGACATATTAGCATTGATTGAAGATCAAAAAAAAAAAAAAAAACTTTGAACTTGTGTTACGTTTTTTTAACGTTTACGAAAGATAAAACTTTAAAAAAACATCCAACTTTTTTGATATATATATGTATGTGTATATATGTATGTGTATATATATATATATATGTATATATATATATATATATATATATATATATATATATATATATATATATATATACATATTCATATATATATATATATATATATATATATATATATATATATATATATATATATATATATATATATAGATATATATATATATATATATATATATACATATATATATATATATATATATACATATATATATATATATATATATATATATATATATATATATATATATATATATATATATATATATATATATATATATATATATAATATATATACATATATATATATATATATATATTTATATATATATATATATATATATATATATATATATATATATATATATATATATATATATATATATATATATATATATGTATATATATATATATATATATATATATATATATATATACATATATATATAAATATATATATATATATATATATACATATATATATGTATACATATATATATATATGTACATATATATATATATATATATATATATATATATATATATATATATATATATATATATATATATATATTATATATATATATATATATATATATATATATATATATATATATACATATACATATATAAATCCAAAAAGTAATCAAACAATAACACTTCAATTCTTTTAAATCTGTTAACTGTTACAAAACATGTTTAGTGGTAAAGAATAATAACTTTTAGTTAAATTTAAATTCGGAAAAGAGTAATAAGCCCCTCCAAAAAAAATTATTTTTAAGCAAGTGTAAGTCTTATAGACTTTGTTTTAAAAGTTACTTTCATTGTCATTTCTGGTATAACCAGACCAGTTAAGTTTACAGCAGACGCTATTAGTAAATAACCTGACGGACATTTGTTTTTAAAAGTTACGTTCTAAATGTATTTTAAATGTCTTTTAAACGTCTTCTAAACAATCTTACGCAAAAAACGTTTAAAAGACAATTAAAATACATTTAGAACGTAACTTTTAAAAACAAATGCCCGTCGGGAACGCTAAGGACATTCTCCGGACAGCCTTCATTAAAGTCTGTGTTCCTTTACTTGCCGCAGCTATTATCTACAAAAACAGCTATTATCTACAAAAAACATAGTAACAGCATCAGTAATATATACACTGAAGAATGTTTTTTAAAAAATTAAAAAAAAAATAGATATCAAATGGAGGCCATTAAATATTGCATAACATTTATTAAAGGCTTTATGTCCTTTATTTCCGTTTATAAATGATCTAGCTGGTGTACCACAAATAAAAGCTGATATAGCAAACGTATATACTTTACCATTAATTATAATACCAGAATCAAATAAAGCAATACTTTCATTAACAACCATTTTTAGAAATTCATTACGGTCTTATGGTCTTTACGGTCCTCATTTTTTATTAAACCTAATATTGGCCAAAATTGTCCATTGCTGCTTTTAAACAATTTGCATCAAACCATTTTTTAGTTCTTCATTGTTATCATCATCAATTGCTTCAGAATCTGATGACTCTAATGGGTGAGATTCAGAATCAGATATTTTTAGATTACTGTCAGAGTTCACTTCACAATCAATATTATTTGTAACTGAGGGAATAGCACTCTCAGTTGTAAGTTTTCGATCTGATATACTCTTTAAACGCAATGATTGTGCTTCTTCTGGTGAATGTGAAAAATTGCTTGATTTATTGGTAATATCATTTTAGGCAATATTCAACAGCTAATATCTTTCGTTGTTTTGTCCAAAAGCTCACTATTGAAACCTACATAAATTGTTTTATTTACTAAAGCTGGTACATATTTAGAAATTTATATAGTATATATGTATATATATATATATATATATATATATATATATATATATATATATATATATATATATATATATATATATATATATATATATATATATATATATATATATATATATATATATATATATAACTTCATATTAGTATAACATTGTTCTTGTTATATTAAAAGTTATATGACTATTCACGTAACTTTTAATATAACGAGAACAATGTTATACTAATATGATTATAACATTGTGACATAACTGTCACAATATTGTTTAAGTTATAAATGTTAAAAATAAAATCAAATTAGTATTTTTTGTTATGAATCTTGGAAAAATGTATATTGAACCTATATGTGTATCTATACTTTATATCTATATCTATAGTAAGTATAGATATAGATATAATATATAGTGATCTATACTAAGTATAGATATAGATATATTATATAAGTATAGATATAGATATAAATATAAGTTATAAATAAAGATATAAATATAATATATTATAATATAATATAAAGTATAGTATACTTTATATTATATTATAATATATGATATTTATATCTGTATTTATAGTTTATAAATATAGATATAGGTATAAAACCATGTAACTTTTAAAATTTAAAAGCAATAGTTATATCTATATTTTATAATATCAAGTATAGATGTAGACTTAATACAAATTTATATATATAACCTATTCCCAGCCGGCACAATGACGTTAAAATAACGTTGAAACAACGTCGCAAACCGACCATATGCCACGTTGAAACAACGTTGAAGTTTGGTCGAATTGGAAATAAAATCCGACGTCGAAAACTACGACGTTGAAACAACGTCGATGATTACGTCGTTTCAACGTTGATCTAACGTCTTATCGACTACATATCAACCATATTTTAACTTTGAATAGGTGATATATTCGATTGATACGTAGTTGATAAGACGTTAAAACAACGTTGAAACAACGTAAATTCAACGTTGATTTTTGTTTTTTATTTTGGTTAAATCCAATTTACCAAAAAATTATCTCAACTTTAATTGCAATAAAATAACACAATAAAAAAGCAATAATTTGCGAAGAGGATATTATATTTCACGTAAAATAATCAGATACAATTAAATTGCTTCAACGGACTTTACATACAATACAAATAAAATAAAATGTTTAAAAAAAAAAGTTTTATTTATCAGTAATATATTTGTCAATTTATCAATAACAACTATTATCAATAGTTCCAGAACAACTAGGAAAAAGTATGAATGTTAAACATCGGGTTAATCGCCTTTTACGCGCCGACCACCACCACTTGATCTGTCGAGTGCGTATTTTAATAAAGTCATTATTTCTTTTCTTATTTCGGCAACTGTAGCAGTCACTTTAATTGACAAAACTCTCTCTATAAAAAGGTATTGCCAGAGTAATTTGCATCAAATACATCAAAAAGATAAAAATAAAATAGCATTAAAAAAGCAAACTGTGATTTTTAAAAAATATATAATTTTACACTTAACTTACAAGTAAATACCTAATGTTTGTTCCTCTAAACTTCTCTTTACCTTTACCGCCAGCCATATTAAATTTTGATTATAAACCATTGGTCAACAATCTGCATTATACATTGTTATTATTATTATAGTTACATTAAAAATTGATAAACATGTCTTAGACAAAACACAAAATATTCTCAATGAAAAATTGCACAAACCGCAAAGGTTTCTTATCAAACCGTAATGCAAGTAAGAAAAAGAATTGATACAGGGAAAGAGAGTTGTCCAAGGAGACCACCTTCTAAACGCAAGAAAACACCAAGAGCAGACAGTATAATCAGAAATATCTGCCTGGAAAACAGAAAAAAAGCCACTAAACTTATCCATGAAGCTGTAATTGTTGTGTCAGACCGGACCATTTGTAGAAAGCTAAAAGAAGAGGGATTGATGTCCTGCCAAAAAAGTCAAAAATTGACAAAAAAATTTAAAAATATTAAAAATAATGTCAAAAATCTTATATTTATGCAAGATGGTGCAACTTGCCACACATTAAAACCTGTTATGGCTTAGTTGATGAATTGTTATAGCTAGACAACTCGCATGATCTTAACCCCATAGAAAACATTTGGAAAATAGTAAAGCAAGAGATTGGAAAAAAAAATCTTACTACTAAGCAAGATCTTATGGAAGAGATTATCAAGATCTGGCATAATAACCCAAAGTTGACAGAAAATATAAAAAATAAATTGCAAGCATGCCACAATGCAATGAAGCAGTTATTGCAAATAAAAGTGTTTTTGCAAAATATTTA